TTGTTGTCTCGGATTCTCCAGCATCTGCAGTTCTACTATCTCTTCTCTGGAATCAATCTAGTGAACCTCCTAATGCCATTCACCTTCAGAGAATCATAGCCGCAGACGGTACACAGGATGCCTGCACAACTCCAAAATGACCTCCCTGCTCTTATAATCAATGATATGACTGATAAAGATAAGGTATGCCTTCTTAACCACGTGTTAACCTGTCCGGCCACCCACAGAGATCTGAGGACAAGCACACCCAGACCCCTCTATCCCTCTGAGCATCCCAGGGTCCATCATTTTTTGAGTACTCCCTTGTCTTGCTACTTCTTCCAAAGTGCATCACCTCACACTTTACAGGGTTAAATTCATTCTACCACTAATCTTCCCATCTGACCAACCTGCCTACATCCTCTTCAGTCAATGAATGAACTGCTAAATCAGCCAATCCTTCACTAACACCAGTGTTCAGGATCATTGAAAGACTCTTACTGTGTTTATCTCTCATTCTATCTAATCAGTCCTGGTCTATACAATAGTAATGATCTGCTCTACAGCTTGTCAAACTAAATTTACATTCTTAAACAATTTCAGTGGCATGTAAACTTCCATCCTTCTCGGATTATGAGTTCAAGCCCCATGAATTACTAATGTGGCATCACAAAACAACATGCGGTTATCACTCCAGCGAATTTCAAACTTACGTGCTTCACTGTTAAAGCAGCACAGGGGTGGTAGGGAATTAACTTGTATTTGTTGTTCTCAAAGTCACAGAGAAATTTTTCAAGGTCATTGTATCGCTCCTCATAAGTCACTGCAATTGAATAAAAAGGCAAAGGCACAAGTCAAATTAACATAATAACACTTCTACCGACATGAAAGTGGATCAAAATGCCCATTATCTTTTGTCCAGTGCTTTTACGCCCACATCAATTAGTTTGAGTTCTAGACAGATCAGCCAATAAGAAGACAAGGTCAAGAATTGTCTTCAGGCTTGGGTTTCTTTATAACACTATCCATTACAAAGATTAAATATTAACAATACATAGAGATATACAAGATTCCAAGCTTATGGTTACTTTATGGGGACATTGGCATCTCGTAGACACCTATAAAGTTCTAACAGGACCAGACTGGGTAAATGCAGGAATGATGTCCCCAGTGATTGGGGTTTCCAGAACCAGGGGTCACAGTCTAACAATACAAGAAGGCCCTTTCGAACTGAGTTGAGGAGAAATTTCTTCACCTAGAAGGTGGGGAGCCTGTGGAATTCTCTGCCACAGAAAACAATTGAGCCCAAAACTCCATTAAATATTTTCAATAAGGAGTTAGACATAATTCTGAGGGATAAAGGGATCAAAGGGGATGGGGAGAAAGCGGAATCAGGAGACTGAGTTGGATGATCAGCCATGACAGTATTGAGTGGTGGAGTACGCTCGAAGGGCTGAATGGCCTACTCCTGCTCCTGAGTTCTATACTTCTATGTTTTCTTGAAATACTATTAAATAAATCTGCCTGCCTAGTGCTAATCAGTCTACTCCACATGTCTTTCTACACATGGCTAGACTTCAGACTTTTGTCTAGCTTGCCCTGTGTTTCTCTTCTAACGCTACCCACAATGTACTATTTATGTCTAATGAGGAACAGCTCTGTGACATCATTGCAACATTGCTCCGGGGTTTGAAATCCCTGACACAACATATACAGATTCGCAAAAACAGAAATTGTTGGAGAAACTCAGCTGGTCAGGCAGCATCTATGAAGTGGGAACACAGTTAATGTTTCAAGTCCAGGGAGCCTTCATCAGAGAAGGAGAATTGAAGGAGAATTGACATACAAATTAATTTTGTCGACTTACATAGGGCAATTACACAAAAGGTTAAAGCCCACAGCAGAATTTGAGGATGCAATTTAGACAACATCAATTATTTTTATTCATTCACAGGATGAGGGCCTCACTGGTTAGGCCAGCATTTACTGCCCATCCCTAATTTCCCAGAGGGCAGGTAAGAGTCAACCACATTGGTGTGGGTCTGGAGTCACATATGGGCCAGACCAGGTAAGGATGGCAGTTTCCTTCCCTAAAAGGACATTAGTGAACCAGAGATAGTAGGAACTGCAGATGCTGAGATAAGAAGGTGTAGAGCTGGATGAACCAGATGGGTTTCCCCTGACAACTGGCAATGGATTCAAGGTCATCACTAGACAACTTGTAATTCCAGATATTTATTAGATTCAAATTCCACCATTTGCCATGGCAGGATTTGACCCCAGAACATTACATGGATCTCTGGATTAACAGTCCAGCGATAATACCACTAGGCCATTGCATTGAGTAAACAGCACACAGATACTGCCAATATTTCAATGCCAGATTTTATGTTCCCGTCAGGCTTTCTCCCGCTCTCGTTCACCCAGCTCTACCATGTATCCTTTTATTCTTTTATCACTCATTTAGCTGGCTTCAAGTTAACACTTAAACAAAAGTTGGCTGTTTAACTCCTTAGGCCTTTTCTGTCATTCAGGGAGATCATATTGGACCTGTGACCTCACTCAATTGGCCACCAAAAATCAATCAATCGATCAATCAATCAATCAATCAATCTCAAATGGAAAGGTTTGTTTTATCCATAGCAGCAATTCCAGTTTGTGGAATGGAATCGAAGCTTCTACTTCCCTTTGTATTACACAGTCTCACTTCTGATAACTCTGGCTCAAATGTTAGGACTATGCTCCATTGTAGACCATGACTCCCCAGCCAGCAGAAATACTTTCTCTCTAATAATCTGATCAGGTCCCCTTGATATCTTAAAAAAAAATTAAGTCAATCTTTAACCTCTTAAACCATAAAGAGCACTTTGTTAGTTTGTGTATTCACCATGCAATTTAACCCTTGGAGTCCTGGTATTCTGAAAAATGTATATTGCACTCCCTCCAAGGCCAATATATCTTTTTTTATGTGTAATGCACAGAACACTAAGGGGAAGCAGTTGTGTCGTGATAATTTTACTAGACTAGTAATCCAGGACTCCGGGCTAGTACTATGTAGACTTGGATTTGAATCCCACCCCGTGCCAACTGGTTGAAATTGGAATTCAGTTAAAAAAAACTCAAAATTAAAGAAAGTGGCCTAATGGTGACCATGTAATCTAATGGTGGCCATGTAACCACTGGTGATTCTCTTAAAAATCTATCCTACCAAGGTTCACTAGCATACTCTCAGGAAGGAGATTTGCTGCTCATATCTGCTCTGGCCTATGTGTGAATTCAAACCCACAGCAAATTGGTTAATTCTTAACTACCCCCTGAAAGGGCCCTAGCAAGGCATTCAGATCAAAGGGTATTTAGGGATGAGCAATAAATGTCTCCCCAGCTATCAATAGCCACATCATATTACACTCAAATGAAACAAAAACTATCCAAAATACTCCAAGCGTGGTCTACAGTCATTGCAGAACAGGTAGTCTACCTTTCTCACCACAAAAGCCGGTAATAAATTAGACCTTTTTCTTTACTTATTTCTCCTAGTTTCCTCTTAAATATTAAATCAACTACATTTGAACAGTGTGTTCCATGTCCTTGCCATTATGGGTAAAGAAGTTTCTCTTCAATTCTCTGATTTATTGCTATGAAGAGAGGTTGAGTAGATTAGGATTATTTACATTAGAAAGACAGAGGTTGAGGGGAGACCTGATTGAGGTCTACAAAATCATGAGAAGTATAGACAGGGTGGATAGCAAGAAGCGGTTTCCCAAAGTGGGGGACTCAATTACTAGGGGTCACGATTTTAAGGTGAGAGGGGAAAAGTTTAAGGGAGATATGCGTGGAAAGTTCTTTATGCAGAGGGTGGTGGGTGCCTGGAACGCGTTGCCAGCGGAGGTGGTAGAGGCGGGCACAATAGCGTCAGTTAAGATGTATCTAGACAGATACATGAATGTGCAGGGAGCAGAGGGATACGGATCCTTGGAAAATAGGCAACAGGTTTAGATAGAGGATCTGGATCGGCGCAGGCTTGGAGGACCGAAGGGCCTGTTCCTGTGCTGTAATTTTCTTTGTTCTTTGTTCTTTGTTCTATTACTGCTGAAATATATAATCATTTTCTCCCATCTTTTTTTGACATCTATCCAATCAACCTCTGATACGTGCATTTTGTTAAAATGTTGTAGGATCACCCTATCGGAGAGATTGTGAAGATCCTTGGCATAATATGAAGAAAAGCACAGAATTCGCCCAGGGTCCAGGACAACATTTCTCCCTTAAACAAGATGAACGACCCGTCCAAATGCTGCTTCTCATGATATTCATGACTGACTGTCCATGAAGGGTAGGACCAGGACGCCACTTCAAGGTAATTTTTGTTTATGTCTCTTGTTTTTAAACTGCTCAATTTCCCAACACTTTGGGAAGGATTTTAATTGAGTCGGGTAAAACAGTGTTCAGTTCTGCATGTGGAAGACTTGCCTGCAATTTGGAATGGCCAGTTTTGTTAGTAGGGAAGAGAAGGAAGAGGAGGAGTGAAACCCAAATTCAGCAAAGCCATTTGAACTCAGCGCCGAGTTCAAACAAAGTCCATTTCGGTTGCTGCAATCTAGAAGGACGGGAGGCAGCAGATACATGGGAACACCACCAGCTCCGAGTTCCCCTCCAAGTCACTCACCATCCCGACTTGGAAATATATCATCATTCCTTCAGTGTCGCTGGGTCAAAATCCTGGAATTCCCTCCCTAAGGGCATTGTGGGTCAACCCACAACAGGAGGACTGCAGCGATTCAAGAAGGCAGCTCACCACCACCTTCTCAAGGGCAACTAGGAATGGGCCAGAAATGCTGGCCCAGCCTGTGACGCCCACATCCCACAAAAATGAATAGGAAAAAAAGGGACTGAAACACACACCGTGGAATTCATAAATTTATGGCGTGGAAATAAATTTTCTCAAAAGGCAGATGTCTGCTGAATTGTCATGATTTTATTTGTATCCCCTTGTTTTTCAGGCTGTTTAATTAGACACCGCCGTACTGCAGGAAAGATGTGATAGCACTGGAGGAGGTGCATCCAGGATGTTGCCTGGGATGGAGAAATTTAGTTTTAAGGAAAGACTAGGTAGGTTTAGACTGTTTTCTTCAGAGCAGAGAAGACTGTGGGGAGACTTAATTGAGGTGTATAAGATTATGAGTGGCACAGACAGGATGAATAGAGAGCAGCTGTTCCCCTTGGTTGAAGGGTCAATCATGAGAGGGCATAGTTTTAGGGTAAGGGAGAGGAGATTCAATGGAGATTTGGGAAAACATTTTTCCACTCAGCGGAACCTGGAATGCACTGCCTGGAAGGTTAGTGGAGGCTGGAAACCTTACAACCTTTAAAAAATATTTGGAAGAGAACTTCAAATATCATAACGCTCAAGAATACGGGACAAGGGCAGGGAATAGGGGCTAGCGTCCCTTTAGTGGTAATTATGTTGGTGCAGACTCGATGGGCCAAAGGGCCTGTTCTGCATTGTATGAGTCTATGAATCTATAAGAAATGGTGGCTGCAGTAGTCTGTGTGAGAGAACAAAATTTCTGCTGTGCTGGACTGCTTTCATTGACAGGCCACAGGGTCTAGTCGATAAATGTGGAGCTGGAGGAACACAGCAGGTCAGGCAGCATCAGAGGAGCAGGAAAGTCAACATTTCAGTTCAGGACCCTTCATCAGGATGAAGGATTTCAGCTCGAAACATTGACTTTCCTGCTCCCCTGATGCTGTGTTTTTCCAGCTCCACACTTATCTACTCTGGCTTCCAGCATCTGCAGTCCTTACTGTCTCCACAGGGTCTAGTGGATATTCGAGCAGTTTCAGTAGTTATTTGTTGACAGTTCCCCTAAAGCTGTTTTTGAATGCTTGGCTGAGTTTACCAGGAATAGATTGACTTTTGTAATGGATACAGGCTTTTCTTTTATTTTTAAAATTCCATTCCAGATTTGAAAACTCTGAATGGGCTGTCATGAATGGGATTCAATATGAAGTCTGAAAACTGTGGATCCAGTTTAAGTTGCCCTGCAGGGTATGAGGGATTGTGGCAGGTTGTATGTGGGGAGGTATGACATGGTATGAGTTGATATTGACAGTAAGTGGGCTCTTGGCAATGTTTAGGGGCATGAGTTGGCATGGAGGGTATAAGGGATGATGAAGTAGGTGGGTAC